CAATTTTGGAGGGAGGAACTATTCCTAGAAACAGTGTTTAACATACAATAAAAATTAGAGGACTTGCAAAAGATAGAAAAATGTGAGTCAACCAGAGGCAACTCAGATATTATAATTCTCAGATCAACCTTAAAATAACTAGTACAAATGTATAGAAAATGAGTCTATAAAAAATCTATAGAAATGAGTCATTTCAATAAATGAATAAAACGATGGGGAATTTCCAAAGAAATTTGGGACCTATGAAAAAGAACCCGATGGATATCCTAGAATTGAAAAATGCCATGTCAGTTATAAAAACTTCATGTAAAGAGAAGCTACAAGAAAATTACCAAAAAAAAAAAAAAAAAAGGAAATTTAACAAATTTAACAGAACTGCTCAGAGAACATCATGTAGGATAAATAAAAACAGGGGTGCCAGGGTGGGTCAGTCCATTAAACGGCTGCCTTCAGCTCAGGTCATGATCGCAGGGTCTTGGGATCGAGCCCCACATTGTGCTCCCTGCTCGGCAGGGAGCCTGCTTCTCCTTCTCCTGCTTCCCCTGCTCGTGCTTGTGTGCTCTCTCTCTCTCTCTCTCTCTGTCAAATAAATAAATAAAATCTTAAAAAAATAAAACAACAAAACCTCTTTTTAAGATATTATAGTCAAACTGAAAAAATGAAAGTTAAAGAGGAAATATTAAGATCAGATATGAAAAATACATGTACATTAGATACATGGGAACAATGCAAGAATTAAAGCTGACTCCTTATCAGAAACAGTGGAGACCAGAAGACACTGGAATGGCATCTTTCAAGGGCTGAAATAAAAACAAAACTCTCTCTATAGAATCCTGTATCCTGAGTAAATATACTTTAAAATAAACATATTCTTTTTTTTTTTTTTTTTAAAGATTTTATTTATTTATTTGACAGACACAGAGAGAGCAGGAACACAAGCAGGGGGAGTGGGAGAGGGAGAAGCAGGCTTCCCGCTGAGCAGGGAGCCCGATGTGGGACTCGATCCCAGGACCCTGGGATCATGACCTGAGCCGAAGGCAGACGCTTAACGACCGAGCCACCCAGGCGCCCTAAAATAAACATATTCTTAAGTGAGGGAAACCTGGATTAATTTGTTGCCAGCAGAACTGCCCTGTAAGAAATGTTCAAGAAAGTTCTTCAAGCTAGAGAGAAATGATACAAGATGGGAACTCAGGTCTACAGTAAAGGCTGAAGAGCATGAGAAAGGGTAAAGATGCAGGCAGCCTGAAAATCTAATTTTTAGAAGAAAATTTTTATGCATACTAAATATATAGCTGAGCTTTAAAAGACTCCTGACTGTTTGAAACAAACATTATAGCCATGTGTTGTGAGGTCTATAATAGAGATAGGAGAAAAAGATACGTGAATATTGGCACAAAGGATGGGCAGGGATAAGTGGAATTATGCTGTCGTAGGAGTACTCTGTTGTTAATGAAGTCCTAGAGTATTATTTTAGGCTAAACTATAAGAAGTTAAACTTACATGGTATAAACTCCATAGCTGTTCTGTTCAACACACTACCCACCAGCCACATGTGGCTACCAAGTAAGCACTTGAAAAATGACTGAAGCTAAGGAAGTGAATTTGCAATTTTAATTATTAAAATTTAAGTGAAAAACTAAGTGGTGTACACATTCTTCTATAAAACACCATTTTATTGTTCTTGTAGAACTACCTTTCACTTTAAATGTGACGAGCTGTAGGTATAAAATTCAGATCAGATTTCAAAGACTTGGTATGAATGTAATTTTGGAATGTAAGATGTCTCAGTACTTTTATTTATTACATGTTGAAGTGACAATATTTCGGGTATGTTGGATTAAATAAAATATATTGTTAAATTAATTTCACCTTTAAAAATTTTGTTAATGTGACAACTAGAAGATTGAGATAGTCTGTCAATATTACATGTGTGATATGCATTGTATTTCTATTAGAGCTATTCTAGAGAAATTACTAAAAATATAACAGAGTAATATAGCTCAAAAGTCAAATAAAGGAGAGAAATTTGCAATACTGGAAAATACCCTATTTACCCAAATTAATGGAGGAAAAGAGAAAAAAAAAGGAACATATGGAATAAATGGAGTAAATGGAAAACAGATACCAAAATGATGGACTTAAACATAAACTCACCAATAATCACATTAAGTATAAATGAACAAAACATTTCACGTACATGGCGGAATTGTCAGATAAAAATGTAATACCTAACTCTATGCCATTTGTGAAATATTTTAAATATAAAGACACAGATTGAAGGCAAAAGGATGGGAGAAGATATACCAGGTTAACATTAATTTTAAGAAAGCAGATGTGGCTATATAAATATTAGACAAAGTAGACGTTAAGACAGAGGAGTAATACAGAGATAAAGAAGGATATTTCATATTAATTAAATTGTCAGTTTGTCAGAAATACTCAGTAGTCTAATATGTATATGCATCTATTAAAAGAGCTTCAGTATATATGAAACAAAAAATGACTTAACTGAAGTGATAAATGGAAAAATCCAGAATCATACTGGGATATTTTATTAATGTTCTTTTAGTAATTAGTAGAAAAATGGAATAAATTAACTTCATAAATGTGGTAATAGAAGTGATGTAGAATGAATAGAGATGGAATTCGCAAATTGGGATATTCTCAAAAGTCATCAGCCAATGGGGCGCCTGGGTGGCTCCGTCGGTTAAGCGACTGCCTTCGGCTCAGGTCATGATCCTGGAGTCCCAGGATCGAGTCCCGCATCGGGCTCCCTGCTCGGCGGGGAGTCTGCTTCTCCCTCTGACCCTGCCCCCTCTCCTGTGCTCTCTCTCTCTCAAATAAAATAAATAAAATCTTAAAAAAAAAAAAAAGTCATCAGCCAATATCCCTGAAAAATTCCAAGGACCTATGCTGTTAATGTGAATAAATTTTTTTTTTAGCTCTTGTGATAGCTACATAGTGATTTTAAGCTTATACAATCAGCTAATACTTCTAATTTCTTTTCCTATATGCTCTCTTAAGCCACATTTGCATAATTTATATTGGGGAAGATAGTTTGGGGAGAACCAACCTTTTATTACTATTAGTAATTTGGGTTATACTTTTCCTGACTATTGTCTATGTATTTAAATATAGATATCTAGAAATAATTTGTAAATATAATTCCTCAATATCCTTTAAAAATTTTATAGGGTATCCTAGAGGTCTTTTTATGTCAGTATATAAAAGATGAATGTTACTCTTTTAAACTCGTACATTGTATTTCCTAGTATGGATGTTTATACTTTTCTTAGCAGTTAATCTGTTACTGCACCTTTGCTTATTTCCAGATTTTCACAATAACAAACGATGTTGCAGTGAAAATCCATTTCTCACTTTTCATAGGTAGGTGAATTTTTCCCTAGGGTTGATACTCAACAACATGTAGGGATATATGCATTCTAAAGTTTCTTAGATACACCCAAATTTTTCACAAAGCTAGCAATTTGCCCTGCTACAAATAGAATATGAGAATAACATTTACATTTTCCTGATCAAATAGTGAATTTGGGCATTTTCCCATATATTTATGGGCCATGTATTGAATGCTCTTTTCTATGAATCACTTGCTCGTTTCTCTTGCTCGGGTTTCATTTGGGCTGCTTGCCCTTTTCTTATTCATCTGAGGGAAATTTTTAAATATGTGTATTTAGATAATAATCCTTTGTTGTGTGTGGCAAATATTTTCTCCTTACCTGTCTCTTGCCCTTAACTTGTTCATCAGAAAGTTCTTGTTGGTATCTTTATTATTCTGGGTCTCTTCAGCTTTCTCTTTCCATGACTGCCTACAGATATTTCTTTGTGCCACATGTGGGTTTCTCTGGGCATCCCCTTGCTTCTTTGGATATGTGTTAAGGGTAGATTATGGCTGACTTGAGTCAGCATTTCCATAGTAAGTAATATTTTAATCAGAACAATTGGTGTGACTCAGTCCTGGTGACACCTGCTGGTTGCTGGCTGGCTGGTAACATTGCCCTTGAACGTGATGGATGTGGGTTCCTTCCCTGCGCCTGCAGGCATGGATAAGCAGTCATCTCAGCTCTGGGGCATCTTAGGCACCAGTAGTTGCTGCTGGCTCCACGGTGTGGGCAACTTGGCTCCCTCACTGACTAGAGATTGGTTTTTCTGAGCATCTCCTACCCTAAATGGATCCCTTTCAGAAGAAAGTGACTGGTAGGACTTGAAATCTTGGGATATCTTTTTGGCTTTTGGTAGAAGACTGAATAATGAGACTTTAAGGCTAAGTGGTCTTCTTGCAACTATTTTCAAACTGGGGCCTGTTGGGAGCTGCACACACACACATAACCAAGTGTGTGTTAAAATAGAAATCTGGGAAATGGGACAGAAGCTCAAGTATGTCACTGTTCAAGTTCTCAGGTACTTCTTGAACGCATTCTCATGATAAAAGCACAAGCAACCCAGGAGTGGAGTAGAAGTCTTCATTGTCTCTCTGCCCCTTTCTCCAGAGGTAACCACAGATCAAAGTTGAGTTGTATCTTTCCAGCCACACAAGAGGTGCTCTTTAACCAGTGCCCACATTATACCTATTGTTCTGTAGTTTCTTTTCCCCCTACTTCTTTTTTCACATGCCCTTCCATAAATGACGTATCTTTCTGTGCATTAGATCTTCTCCCTGCCTTCAAAGACATGAGTTTAGTTAGGGAAAAGGCCCGTGTCAGTGTAGTATGCTCAATGTACAGAGGAGGTAAGGGCATATAACCTTGAGCTGAGAAGAGAAGCGAACAGTGAAGGTGTCCTGGAGCAACCAGCTGATATCCAAGGTGAGCACTGATAGATGTGTAGGAAGTGGATGTGGAAGGCTGGTAATGAACCCCCATAAAATATCCAGGTCCTAACCTCCTGGAACCTGAGGATATTGCCTTATATAACAAAAGGGGCTTGCAGATGTGATCAAGCTAAAGATTTTGAGATGGGATTATCCTGGTGGGCCCTAAATGCAAGCACAAGTGTCCTTACAAGAAGGAGGCATGAGGAGATTTCAGACACCACAAGAAGGCTATGTGAGCAATGAAGCAAAATGCTATGCTGCTTTGAAGATGGATGAAGGGACCAGGGGCCAAGGAATGTAAGGAATGTAGCTCTAGAAGCTGGAAAAGGCAACCAAATGAATTCTCCCTTAGAGCCTCTGGAGGAAGCATGGCCCTGGTGACACCTGGGTTTCAGCCCATTGAAACCAACTGGGCCTTCTGGCCCCCAGAACTGTTAGAAAATACATTGTGTTGTTTTAAGCCACAAAGTTTGTGGTGATTTCTTAGTGGCAAAAGGAAACTAATACAGTAACCAAACAAAGAAACACATTAGAAGGAGAGAACAGTTTGTAAGCTTTCTGGCAAGAGAGCAAGATCCGCTCTTTAACACATGTTGGAGAAAAGTGGAGGGATGAAGAAAAGAGAATTGAGATGGGACATGTAAGTAGGGGACAGATCATACAGGATTTGGAAGGCACACTCAAGAGGTTGCTTTTTATATCCAGGAAAATAGGGAGCCAAAGAGGGCCTTTGAGCACTTAAAAGCAGATTTTAGTGTTGAGTAGATCACCACTAGTCTCTTTTCCTTGCTCTTAGAAAAGAAACAGAATTTGGTTGCCTAGATAACAACTTCTAGTTTTCTTACCTTTTATTCTCCTAAAAATTCTTCCCTCCCATCCAAAACTCTTTATCCTATAAAGAGCTGAACTCTCTCCTCAGACAAACCTATATACCATATTTTCAAGCCTGCAAGCAGATAATTTCTTCTTGGGCTTCTGAGGGGGCTGTTTGAGATACTGCAAGAGAAGGGAGCTCGCCTGAGCTGGGCTGTGGCTCCAAGCAGGCTGCAAGGAGGAGACAGAGTTGAAAGCACTTTACTTCATGAAATCCAAACCAGCATTGTCTTGGGGCCAGCTGCTGATGGAGGACAAAGGGTTAGAGAGGCCAGTCCCTGTTCCCAAGGCCTGAAGGGTGGCAATCTATCATCGGTGCTCAGATTCCTTTTCAGGGCCGAGGTCATTTATAGAAAAAACACCTCGGTTATCCTGGTTCTGTAAGGATTACAGTTTTCCCTCCAGCAAATTTGCAAATCTCTCTAATGATTAAAGCAGACAGTCACCAAACCACTCAGTAGGGGAGAAAATAAAGATAGCCTTCAGGGTTAGGTGAAGGAACAAAAATACACCTGAGCAGGAGGCCTGTCAGGAGGTAGGAGATTTTTCTCTTCTCCTTTTTAACAGTGGCTGTTGACTGGCAGAGACAAGACTGTGGGAGATGGGAGAGTTTCTATTACTAGGGCTGCTCTATCCAAAGGAGAGGAGTTGAAATGAGCAAACAGGGCTATTATTGGGATGAAGGGGTCCATGGGCTTCCCATACCTTCCAGCTACTCCATCTTATTTTGCCTTGGTCACATGTCCCATGTAAGAGGCATTAAGACCAGCATGGGGAATAAGCATCAGCATCCAGTCCAAGGAACAATAGCCCACTAGATATGACTGCTGTTTATTATTATTGTGTTGGACATAGATTGATTCTGCCCATCCAAGATCACCTGCCTATTTCCTCAGGTAATAGCACACCAGTTTTTCTTGGGGAGGCACCCCTTCCCCACTCCCAATGTGTGTGATTTGACTGGTTGACCTCACCACCTCTAGATCTCATTGTGGGCTTGAAACTGAAGCCAGGTCATTGGGATCTGCTGTCCCTCAGGCCTAGAGAATGGCTCAAGGATGGGCAAGTGATTTGAAGTGATCCAAATAAGACCATCCTGATTTTTTTTGCTGAGACCATTGGGAATCTTCTGCTGGAATTACTGAAAGGATAGGGTGTGAATTTGGAGCAGCCGGCAGCCATCTTGCCCCAACAAGGAGAGAGCTTGGCTGAGAATAGAACAAGATCCTCTGAAGATGAAACAAGAAGTTTGAGATTCTAGATGAGTTCATCTGAGCACCAGGATCTAGCTGTGCCTGAAGCTGATACTCCCAATAATCCCTATGTTGTTTAAGCTAGTTGAATTTCTATTCTCTGCAATCGAAAGAAACTAATTTCACATTTATTTTCACACCATTGTAATTAATAGCTTTCATTTATTGAGTAGTTACTATGTTGCAGCCTGTACTAAGCACTTTTGTTTAAAGAAATATAATTAGGGAATGTCATGATTTGGAGGAACCCTAGAGCCATCTCTCTGGGGCATTCTTACCCGGCATCTGTGGACTCGTGGATAGTCCCTGCTTATTTCAGAGAGTTTTTTAAACTCTGGATTTTATGCAGAATCTTGAGTACCGGAATTTTTTTTTTCCTGGAAAGAGGGTTTATAACTCTTATGCAATCCTAGTATGGTTTGTGGCCCTAGATCCTCTTCTTTGAACCACATAGAATCTTTCCTCTTGTCATAAGAAGATTAGATTCCAGTCCTTATTCCTCCACTGAATGAGTTTGGGGATATTGACTTGCTACTTCTCAAAATGCAGCACAAGGATATATGGAACTCAATCTGTGGTTCTCATAAAGCTTTTACAAATGTAAAGGAAGGTGCTTTAAGTCAGTCTTTCTTTTTTGGTGGCTACTTTGAGCTTTGCCCCTGATACAAATTTCCATTCCCAACTTCTTTGAGACTCAGTTTCCTCCCACAACAAAGAGAGGTTTAAAACTGCTGCCCTGTATGCTTTACAAGGGGATACGCTGAGGGCATGACAGTAAAAATGCTCTTGGGCATTCACTGGTCTCCTGGCCCTGCCTCTGCTTGCATTCTTCCTTACAAGGTGTTTGCTGCTTCTAGGCTGGTTGCTCCTTCCAGTCTTGGATGTCTGCTTGCTTTCCATATTCCCGGCAGCATCACTGACATCCTGGCTAGGTTGTGTACATGAGATCCTGTTCATTAAGTTACTCTATACAGTCCTTCTTAACAAACACATTAAGGAAACATTCAGAATGTCGCTTGCAGAGCAAATGAACAAAAATAGATGGGCCATCTGATATGTAGAGAGATCTTCTCTTAGCTGGTGGATTTTATTTCGCCTAACACAAGGCTAAGGCCTCCAGAATGAGTTTGTTCATTAATGTATTTATTCACTCGCTCATTTGTACAAATATTGAGGAATTACTCTGTGCTCAGCACCGTGCTGAGAGGATGGGGGTGTGAGTGACAAGCCATGCCAGATTCGTATCCTCAAGGAGTTCACATTCCAGTGATGAGACAGAGACACCCAAACAAATACTTGAAATTCAATGCAGTGGGAGATAAGACAGGTGTTAGAAAGTATGGTGGGAAAACAAAAGAGGGAAGTGACTAAGTTCTTGGGTGGTAGGTATGTGGGAAGGCTTCAGAGAGGAGGTGACATTTGATCTAGGTTTTGAAAGATGAGGAAGAATTTCCCAGGCAGAAGAGGCAAGAAAGTTCTACTAAGAAAGAGGAGGCTTATCTATGGACTGTGGGGCTGTGAAGAAGCAGCGTCTTGCTGGGCTGCATGCCTGCAGCATGGTGGGGATGGACACAGGTACAGTTGGGAGATGGTTGGGCACTGGCTGCCTAGGAGCGGTCTTATGTTCTGCAAGCCCATGGTAGTCCCCCCGCCCCCGCCAAGCAGGCAAGTGGTGTAAGTAAATGTTTTAAGGGAAAAGAAGGAGGAAATATTGGATGTAGAAGTAAAAAAGAATAAAGAAAGGAATCCACTGTTCTAAAAGTAGTAAATCCCAACTCAGGCTGCACAATAGAATCACCAGGGGACCTTTCAAAAAGACCCATGTCTGACCCCTCTTCATGCCATTTGAATTGCAATTTCTGGGGGTAGGGTCTAAGTATCCTTTTTTTTTTTTTGGTTTCCTAAGTGATTCTAATGAGCAGCTCAGGGTTGAGAACTATTGCTTTATCGCTTCTTGGATGCTGAGTACAGATTACAGGGCACCAAAGGCCAGAGATTCTGTTTGAATAGGGCTGTAATTTTAAAAACTAAACTTAATTTTAAAATAGTTTTAGGTTTACGGAAAAATTGCAAAGATAGTACAGAGATTTCCCATATACCCCATGCCCAGTTTCCCCTGTTAATATTTTACATTTGTCAGATTAATGTGACAATATTGATATATTCTTATTAGCTGAAGTCCATACTTTATTCAGATTACCTTATTTTTTAGCTAATGTCCTTTTTCTGTCCTAGGCCTCCATCCAGGATATTATATTACACATATTTGTCATGTCTCCTTGGCTGCCACAGTTTCTCAGACTTTTCTTGTTTTTGATAAACTTCAGTTTTTAAGAGTACTAGTAAGGTATTTTGTAGAATAGCCCACAATTCAGATTTGTCTGATGTTTCTCATGGTTAGACTGTGGTTATGGTTTTTTTTGGAAAACCACAGATGTATGGTGCCACTCTCATCACATAGTATCAGGATACATACTATCAACATGACTTATCACTGTTGACGTTGACCTTGATCATGTGGCTGACAT